AATAATTTGTCAAAGTTATTATATAGACAATATAATATATGTAATTTTGTATAAAAAATAATTAATACCTTTTTATTTATAAAAACTAACAATTCAATGTATTTACTTATGTCATTTATCTTTGTACAATGTATTTCTCAGCCAAATCCTCAATTTTATTTATACCAAAATCAAATCAAGAGTTCAATAAACAGTTTTATTGTTATGTATCGACTTTTTATTCGAAATTTGGATATAATGAAACAACACTTTTCAAGCAATTATCCAATAACAACTCGAAATGATGTTCATAATATCGGAACGATAAAATCAAAAGAAAATCGTGTTTTGGAGTGTTGGAAAGAAACCAATTCTTTGAATCAAATATCTGAGATGGATATTATAAAATGTATCAATAGAATGAAATCGTATTTACAAGAAAACAATTACCAAATTGTCTTAATGGAACTTGTTCGTAGAATGAATCAATTAAAATCCACTTTTGAGACAAAGCCACTCAAAACTGAAAAGGAAACCAACCAGTTTATTTCTACTTTCCCCGAGTTTTTGAGATTGCTGGAACATAATTACAACTTTGTTGACAATTTTTGGAAATTAAAAATATTTACTTCGAACCAACTACTTTTGGATTTAAAAGAATTATTATCAAAAATAGCACTTGAAACGGAAACAAAAGTTAAAATGTTTGATTATTTTAAAGGTCTTACTTTTGTTTTACCTCTTGAAATCAAGGAAAAAATGCACAAAGAATTTTTAAAGCATGTTTCTCCAGGAGCGGTAGGTGGTAAAAGTAAAAAGAAATTGACTGTAAAACGAACTATGATGAAATTTGAAGGAGAGTTTAGTAAAATGGCAGTTGGGTCTCCTCTGGTCGACAATGAGGTCAAAACAACAAGTTATAAAAATAAAGGAGCAAATGGGGGGTTGTATTCTTACAGAACAATCCCAACAACTTCTAAAAATAAAGCAGATGAAAGCGAGCCTTAATATAATTAAAAAGATACAGTATTTACTTTAACTTATACTAAAATTTAGTCTTTTTCTATTTCTAAACTCATTGTTTTTAAAATAAGTATAATTTAGTTCAATTTAGTTTGAACATTCCAAAAATTTAGTTAAAATGTATCTTTTTATATTTTAGTCTTTTTTAAAAATTTTTATAATAATTGTTTTAATCTTTTTTAACCATATAAAATTATTAATAAGAAAATATGATGGATATCTTTTAAACACAAACACGACACGTTGATGTTTTTGTTATATAGTAATTTATAATTAATATTTACCACATTTTTATCACACTTATAACTAGAAATAGTAGTTGTTATTATAATTTTTTATAGTACTTAATTATTACACAAAAAACTATATTTCTAATGTACATTAAGTTCGATAAAAATTCAAATCACACAAACTTTTTGTATTATTTTTTTTTAAACTTAACTTGTTATTCAAAATGTCACTTTTTATTTATGAAGTTATTCTCAAAGGAGTGGCATTTACATCGCTGAGTGTTACAACACAAAACGAACTTCAATCTTTATCAAAAGAAGAATTAAAGCCAAGGTCTGTCATGGAAGTAATAGATAATATTGGCTATCCTGTTATGTGGATAAGAATTAGTCAACAAATAGATAACAGTTTTCTTTCTTCAGTTAATGATAAAGTTAGAAATGGATTGTTTGATTTGTTGGGGACTAGTTTAACTGCAACTCTGAATACAAAATTGAAGAAATTTGCCTTTTATACTCTCCGCAAAAAACAAATACAAATATACAAAGCAACGCACACCAGAACCAACGGTCCAAAACAATACTTTTCTTGTAAACATAAAGGTTGTTCGTCAGAAATTATATTTTATATTGCCAAAGATTCAAAAGTTAGTGGTATAGTTTTTAATCCTTGGCATTTTAATCATGATGAATCAACAATTCTTAAAGGAGTACATAACACCATTTCTGATGAAACAAAATTGTTGTTAATTAAAGATGCCAATGATGGAATTTCAAGTTCGCTGTCAAGACTCAACAATAACATTGTAATAGATGCACAAAAGTTATATAAGATAAGATGTCAATCAAATCGGTATAACAATAAGAAGCAAGCGGAAAATTTAAGAACTTATTTTGATTCACTTGAAGATTTCAATACCGTTATATTCACTGATATAGAAGGTCGGTTTTTAAGTTGCTTTTGTCTGAGTTTGACTTCTATACAAGACTATGATGGAAGCTGTCTTGTGGTTGATGATACACACTGCACCAACAAATTTGGCAAACCGTTGTTTGCGGTTGTTTTTAAAAATAACAACAAAACACAATTATTGTGTTTTGGGTTTTTATACGATTCAACGAAAAACTCTTTTGTGACCTTCCTCAATCAACTAAAAAGTGAATTGGATAAGAGGAAAAAA